TACGCTCGTGTGCACATGTCCGTGCGTGCGCCCTCGTGTGTGTTGTGCGCGCGCGCACTAGTGTGGGTGTATGATCCACTTAATATTTGTATTTATAACTCATTACAATTGTGACCAGGTGTGACGTATCAGTGGTTCATTACTTTGTAATTTGTTCATGACTGTAACCATGTATAGGAGTGAAGCTGATTCATTACCTCTGTAACTTGCCATGATTGTGACCAGATCTACCTGGAGTTCATTACCTTTGTAACTAGTTCAGCTGTCATAACTTTGGGGTCCAGTCACTGGACCCATTATGTACCTTTGTAATCTTTTGACTACCGCCCACAGGATGGGTATGGGTGCATAAAGATATTAAACTAAAGTGTGTGTGTGTGTGTGTGTGTGTGTGTGTGTGTGTGTGGTGTGTGTGTGTGTGTGTGTGTGTGTGTGTGTGTGTGTGTGTGTGGGGTGTGTGTGTGTGGTGTGTGTGTGACTCAACAATCAATATTTGCACCAATAACTCATTACAGTTTGACCGGGTGTGGAAGTGTGAATTGCTCATTACTCTATAATTTGTTCATGATTGTAGCCAAAGTATAAACGTAAGTAACCATTCTACAGAATTCATTACCTTTGTAACTTGTGAGCTCATTGCCTTTGTACCTAGTTCAGCTATCGAAACTTTGGGGGCCCAGTCCCTGGACCCATTACGTACCTCTGTAATCTGTAAATACCTTTGTAACTTGTCATGATTGTGACCAGACTTACCTGGAGTTCATTACCTTTGTAAATTGTGAGTTCATTACCTTTGTAAATTGTGAGTTCATTACCTTTGTAAATTGTGAGTTCATTGCCTCTGTAACTTGCTCAGCTATCAAAACTTTGGAGTCCAGTCCCTGGACCAATTATGTACCTCTGTAATCTTTTGACTACCGCCCACAGGATGGGTATGGGGTGCATAATAAACATATTAAACTAAACAACAAGTACATGTACAAGGTATACAGTCCAAGCTGACAACAATGACATACTACTATATAGAAAGTCCCTTGTTATGCTCCGCATTTCGGGCAAATTAGGTCAGCTACACCACAAAGAAATTTTTAATTCAACATCGAGGTCGCAAACTCTTTTGTCGATAAGAACTCTCAAAAAAAAATTACGCTGTTATCCCTAAAGTAATTTACTCGTTAATCCTAAAAAGAGATCATATTAAGACACCTGTTGTCCATGTTCACCCATCAGTAAAATGGGTACCTGAGTACTCACCTGATACTCACCTACCTAATAGGGTGTGAATGTTAATGGACTGGTGTGGGTCGCATCCTGGGACAAAACTGACCTAATTTGCGGGAAATGTTCAGCATAACAAGCAGCTTTCTATATAGTAGTATGTTATTGATGTCAGCTATAGTCTGTATACCTTGTATATGTAGAAATAAAGATATTATTATTATTATTATTATTATTATTATTATTATTATTATTATTATTATTATTATTATTATTATTATTATTATTATTGATTTTCTTGGGTTATCCAGGGTGGTTAACCCTCCCCCGGGTTAAAAATCCTAACCTATGTTATCTTAACCAGGTCAGGATGCAGGATAAAGAGGTTCCTAATGAATGAAGCTACAGAAAGGAAGGCTGTGTTTTCCTGTAGAGTTAACATTTGTGTACCTATTATATTAAGCTGACTTTCTCTATTTAATGTTTATGTAAATAATTCAGTTCGCTTTATTCCTATTGTACCTATTTATCGTAACTAATTTTCCCACAGTTGAGTTACTTAGTTGTTTTGATTTTTAAGGTTATAATCATGATTGATTTCTGCTGTATTTAATAGATAAATAAGTAAGTTTATTTAGACACAGGTACACATAAGTACAATCATCATACTTTATCTTACATACATATACATAGAATAAGACTTTTTGGGTCATCTTAGATAATCTACACATATGCTGCTATGTATAATAATTATATGACCGTATTTATGTATACCTGTACCTGAATAAACTTAATAACCCCAAAAAGTCAGTGTCGACTTATTTCCACTTGGGCACTCAGTTATTTCATTACAAGAACCCCAGTGGAAGTAAGTCACTTTTTTGAGGGGGGTTATCCTAGATAATTTACACATGTTACTAGGCATGATCATTGTACTTATGTGTATTTGTAGCTAAATAAAGTTAACTACCTAAATTAAGTTAGTAATAGAGCAAGAGGAAGGTATAATACGACTCAGTGGAAGGTGAACCTTAACAACAACAACAACAATAAGAGGAGGCACCGCGTGTTAACAAGCAATTTTCAGACTTTCTATATATAATACGACAAACATAAGCCATAAACAATACTGAGAATTAGTTTAAAGCACATGAGGTTTTATTGTATCATAATAGAGAGAGAGGTGACGTGAGTGACACCAAGATGAACATTCGTTGTGCTAAGGTTAGACCTTTTTTTTTAGAACATTATTATAACCTTCAAGATATACAATAAACTTTAGAATATAACAATAATTTTTCAGAACATTGTTGTAACCTTCATAAAAATTACAGTAACCTCGTACTAAGAGTAGCATTGCAGTTATATACGACACACTCACTATAGGTTTCTTTATTATTAAGAAGTTTTAGCCTCCAGGAAGGTTCCTTGATGTTGATGAGGGGCTCTTGATTTAGGGAACTGGATTTGTGCTCCAGTTCCCCGAATTAAGCCTGAATGCCTTCCACATCCCCCCCAGGCGCTGTATAATCCTCCGGGTTTAGCGCTTCCCCCTTGATTATAATAATAATTGATAAGCTTTATCTTCGTAGTAGTCTCATTTTCAGTTAAATACTCAAGTAGTTTAAAATGTTCAACCTTTGTTGAAGTAGGGAAGCCATTAATAGTGTTCAGTCCCTCAGCTCTGATACAAGTCATCTTTAGTGTTAAGTCAATGTATCTTATTCATCTATTTGTCAGTATTATATATCATTAATAAAATAATAGAAAGAGTGGAATAACCCAGGTTAGGCAGTACTTACTCACGTCCAAACATTCCACTTATTGTAATAACTAATTTATAATACTCATAAGTTGAGGCTAAAGGCATAGGCAAGTACTTAAGGTGTTCACTAGAAAATGTTTCAGTTCTGGGACTTTGTTCACTCCTGTTATACAATGGTTACAAGAAACACAATTTGTAAGTCAAGTTGCATGTGGAAAAAGTGAGTCAGTTTAGGTGACAATCAGATTTGAGCAGCTTTTAAGTTATTCTAATGTCACTTAATACAAAAAATATTGTACCTGACAACTTAATTTATTTGGGTTGAATTTAACTTAGTTCATATTTCTTATTGTCATGTACCATGTTACACTTTTAATCTGTTTTTGTGTATATTTGTTGTTATATTTATATTTATTGGAGTCTGTGGAGACAAAGAACTTTGTCCGTGGAAGCAAAAAGGGGAATATATAAGAGTATAGTTGTACCAACACTCTTGTATGGGTGTGAAACATGGGTGATGAATGTTGCAACGAGGAGAAGGCAGTGGAGATGTTATGTCTGAGGGCAATGTGTGGTGTGAATAAAATGCAGAGAATTTGTAGTTCAGAAATTAGGAGAGGGTGTGGGATTACCAAAACTATTATCCTGAGGGCTGAGGAGGGGTTGTTGAGGTGGTTCAGACATGTAGAGAGAATGAAACAAAACAGAATGACTTCGAGAGTGTATAAATCTGTAGTGGAGGGAAGGCGGGGTAGGGGTTGGCCTAGGAAGGGTTGGAGGGAGGGGGTAAAGGAGGTTTTGTGTGCAAGGGGCTTGGACTTCCAGCGAGCGTGCATGAGCGTATTTGATAGGAGTGAATTGAGACAAATGGTATTTAATACTTGACGTGCTATTGGAGTGTGAGCAAAGTAACATTTATGAAGGAATTCAGGGAAACCGGCAGGCCGGACTTGAGTCCTGGAGATGGGAAGTACAGTGTCTACACTGAAGGAGGGGTGTTAATGTTGCAGTTTTATAACTGTAGTGTAAAGCACCCCTCTGGCAAGACAGTGATGGAGTGAATGATGATGCAAGTTTTTCTTTTTCTGGCCACCCTGCCTTGGTGGGAATCGGCCGATGTGTTAATAATAAATAAATAAAATTTATTAGAATTCCCCTTAAACTATGTATATCGTTAATGTCTTTCTATTCAAGTATATAAAATGTTTATGTTCTATTATGGTAGGTTTTAGCTTGGTCAATTCACTCTGCATAACCAAGCACTTTCCACGTGTACTATTAAATGTGATTTAGTTCTGTAAAAACTATATACTGTGTGGAAATAAAACATTAGTTTATTTACTATTTACATACTTATCTATTTGTTTATTTGCTTATTTCTTTTACATGTGGACTACATACAGTATTGTTGTTTGAAGTGTTTTGAGCTAAATTTACATTCCAACGTTTCACAGCCAGAAGACCTCATGCACATGCAACACTGCAATTTGCTTTGTTTGCCAGAGAATTACCAAATGAAGTACTACCTTTACCATGGCCTCTCGTGGCCACAGTTGTCATATGTAGCCGAAGATGATGAAGGACAGATTGTTGGGTAAGTCATAGTATGTAGATGAATGGTTCAGAGAACCGATAAGTTGATAAAGTAGGCACATGTGCAGCACTTGGGTATCTTTATTGAGGAATTTTTATGATGAGGTGCAGCAGTCGTAGGTGGTACCACATTTGCCCAGTGTGGAAGTAGGTTGTGCCCAAGGGTTAGGCAAGTGAAGAATTTCCAAGTATTTAGATCCTAAGAAGTTGCAGTGTCGGACAGGATTGTAGATGAATGGTTCAGAGAACCGACAAGTTGATAAATTAGACACATGTGCAACACTTGGGTCTAATTTATCAAGTCATAGTGTTAAATTGTATCTTGCGAGCAGGGGTCGCGATACTGAAAGGGTTAAATTTCTACCCAGTACGTGCTGCTACTTGTTGGTGAGAGTGGAAATTATTTCCAGCCCCGAGAGCATGCATATTTAGTACATCATCATAAATTTTACTATAAATAATGTGATATATAATTTCTGCTACCTATAAATTATATGTTGAACAGACAGAACACATGACCATAACACAAGGCACAGATCACTCTTTGATGTTCCTCGTGTCCATCTCACGCTATGCAAAAACTCAATGCATATAAAAGGCCCTAAAATCTAGAATTCATTACCTGTAAATATAAAAGAAACACTACCTGTTTATAAATTCAAGTCTCTTCTCAAAGATCATTTACTCACCCAAAACCAAATAAATACTGAATAACTGAGCCTTATAAATTGTATATCTTAAATGTTTCTCACAATTATATCATATAAATGTTAAACCTAAAACCCAATCTAACAGAATACTCCATTCGACTGAATGTACAGCAATGCATGCAACCATATGACCTGTCTTTGTAATACTCATTTGTGCTTTATAGTTATCTGTTTACAATAATGTCTTATCACTGATTTCATCATTGCTTAGTTAATCTTAAGTTAATTGTAAGCCAGCCCGTAATGCTATGCATATAAGTGGCTTTGGCATGCTGCTCTTACCTGTATTTTTTTTGTACCTCTGTATGTATGCTCAAATTACTAAATAAATAAATAAATAAATTTGATTGTACAATTCCCTAAGGTACTTAAGAAGAAAAAACATACTAAGTTACATTTAAACTAGGAGCTTTTGTCTTAATGTTATTACTTCTTCCATTCTCTTCCAGAATAAGGCTATCTTGTCAGCATTAAAGACCTCCTCTGTCATGTATGATTTGCTTTATTTTTTGATGGGTACTCTTCTGCTGCCCTTTGATCTGATGTGGACTGTGCGTTATTACCACTATCCTCACTAAACTTTACAGGACCCTCCTACATTACAATATTCTAACTTTTTTGTATGTATGGTGGAGTTGTCCAATTGTATATTGCCAATACATGTACAGTATTTGCATTGCTCTTTTTACAAATTGAGGCAAATCTCCTTAATTAGCTTATTAATATGAAAAGGCTTTACCACTGAGACATGCAGGTCCAATAATCTCACTTTTTTCAACCAGTTTCTTTGTGCACTTTATCTTGGGAGTAGATTTGCCACCACCATTATTCTTCATCTTGGAAAGAATGACAGGTCAGTAATATTAGAGAATGGCAGAATAATTGAAAGATTTAGTTGTTACACGACCAGGATGAATGTTTTTTATTATTATTATTAACACATTGGCCGTTTCCCACCAACATAGGGTGACCCAAAAAGAAAAACTTTCACCATCATTCACTCATCAGTCTTGTCAGAGGTGTGCTTACACTACAGTTATAAAACTGCAACATTAACACCCCTCCTTCAGAGTGCAGGCACTGTACTTCCCATCTCCAGGACTCGAGTCCAGCCTGCCGGCTTTCCTGAATCCCTTCATAAATATTACCCTTCTCATGCTCCAACAGCATGTCAAGGCCTAAAAACCATTTGTCTCCATTCGCTTCTATCTAACACGCTCATGCATGTTTGCTGGAAGATCAAGCCCCTTACATACAAAACCTCCTTTATCCCCCCTTCCTCCAACCTTTCCTAGGCTGACCTCTACCCCGCCTTCCCTCCACTACAGATTTATATGCTCTCAAAGTCATTCTATTTTCTTCCATCCTCTCTGCATGTCTGAACCACCTCAACAACCCCTCCTCAGCCCTCTGGATAATAGCTTTGGTAATCCCGCACCTCCTCCTAATTTCCAGACTACGAATTCTCCACATTATATTCACACCGCACCTTGCCCTCAGACACGACAGGATGAATGTGTGTGCAATAAGGGAGAGATCAAATAATGTGGAAGCATGGTGTAGACCACTGTGATGCACATTATTCATTTAGACTTTTGTAGTGGCCCTGGCTTTGATCCGGGATATCCTTAAACTGCTTCGATTGGTGCTGACCATGTTCAGAGGGTGGAATTTTTGTTGCTCAACCTTCAGTGAGAAGACGGGAGTAACAATAAAAAATAAGGGTAACAGGTGTTTCAGTATGATTATAGGTACAAAGGACCATGAGCCTGTAATCCTGCCACAGATATTGAACATTACCCATGTAATTTAATCTGAATATGCATTTGCTTTGCTTTGCAGCTATGTACTTGCTAAAATGGAGGAAGAGAGTGAGGAGGATCCCCATGGACATATCACATCATTAGCTGTTCGGAGGAGCCACAGGTAGGTGTAGACATATATGTGTGTGCATTGGGGGATTAGAGGTTTGTGTTGCTAGCAGAATAGGCATAAGAGGGTAGGTATAGTTTACAGGGTAGATAGAACAAGAGAAGAGATTGATTTTGCAGTTTTGTTAGATTGTACTTGTTGCATTAAATGATGTGTAAATACTTATTAACTTTTTTTTTTGTTTTTGTTTTTTGGTAGGGTTGTTGTCCCTCCCCACTAAAAAAATGATCTAATTATACTTACTTCAATAGGCTGGAATTTTTTTTTAACCTTTTGAATATTTCTCTAATCATTAATCTCAGCTTTAAAAATATTATGGTCTTTTCTTTTTATCTTTTAATTGTGTACAGTGGTCCCTTGAGTTATAATGGGCTTTAGTTATGATAATTTTGAGTTACGATTTGCCCTCATAAAAAAAAAAAATTAGTTTTGAGTTACGATGAAAAATATGAGATATGATTCATGTGTGATGGTCAGTAGTTGTAGGTAGACCTCAGTCCAGAGACCAGACAGGGTGATGAAAGGTCTTAAATGGAGTGATTATGGAAGGTGTGTTAAAGGTGAGTGGGAGGGAGGGAGACCATATGTGTACCAGACCTGATGGTGGGAGAAAGTGATGATGAGAGTGTTAATATTAAGTCTATAGTAATTTACCTATCTGTCTTCTTGTCTGTGTGTCTGCCTCTCTGCTTTCCTGAATGTTTGCCTTCTCTGCCTCCTCTGCTCTGTCCTGCCTGCCCTGCCATTTTGCCTGGGCATAAGCCAATGAAAGATAGACTAACTCTGCTATTGGGTGCCAATGTCTCTGGATATTTCAAGCAGCCTATGCTTGTTTTTCATTCAGAAAACCCTAGAGTGTTTAAAAAATAAAAAGTATTGAAGTGCAGGTTGAGTGTGTTCTGGCATCTTGGAACAAATTACCATAAAACCATGTATTTTAAGGTTTCAGTTATGATAATTTTGAGATACGATATGCCTTCTGTGACAGATTACTATCATAACTCAAGGAACTGCTGTATATCATTTTAGTGGCTTTGTTGTTTGTTTTGTCATATACTGTATATAAACTAAAATTCTGCTATTACCTTGCAGACGACTAGGACTTGCTCAGAAACTTATGGACCAGACAGCTAGAGCAATGGTGGAGTGCTTTAATGCCAAATACGTCTCTCTCCATGTTCGGAAATCGAACCGAGCTGCTCTGAACCTGTATACTAATACACTGAAGTTCACGTAAGGTTTAAATTTTTCGGTTGGTAAACTATATAGATTGATAAAGAGGTTAGGCAGATGAAACATAACAGACTCATTAAGCACATGTAATGATAAGAATTGCTCAGGTGAAAAGATTTATATTTCTGTTAATTTTTTTAATTTTCACAATTAAGTTAATTATTGTCATGTCTTAGATATAGTAGAAGCTGTTTAAAATATAATACAGTATAAATTTTCTATAGGCTCATAATTTTTCTAGGTAATGTGTGCTATATTTATTTAAAGAATTTATCAGTGCTAGTCACTTGAAACAATACTTGAGGCTTTTGCAGTCGGTGAATTATGACTGGTAGGGGAGAGGAGAGGAGGTTGAGGGAAGCTGCCTTCCATTGGGCACAGCTGTGGTACATTTGTCACTTCAAATTAAAAAATCTTAACCGTTTAACACTCAAAACTTCACAGTACACCAGATTGTGTAATTTTCAAGTGTACCTTTTTGCTGCTTTCTCAGTGTTAAAATATGTTATTATCTATAGTTTGTGTAGGAATAATTTTAAAAAACATTAGGTAGTAGGTTGGTAGACAGCAGCTGAACAGGGAGGTACTACCATCCTGCCAAGTGAGTGTAAAACGAAAGCCTGTAATTGTTTTACATGATGGTAGGATTGCTGGTGTCCTTTTTTCTGTCTCATGAACATGCAAGATTTCAGGTACGTCTTGCTACTTCTACTTACACTTAGGTCACACTACACATACATGTACAAGCACATATATACACACCCCTCTGGGTTTTCTTCTATTTTCTTTCTAGTTCTTATTCTTGTTTATTTCCTCTTATCTCCATGGGGAAGTGGAACAGAATTCTTCCTCCGTAAGCCATGCGTGTTGTAAGAGGCAACTAAAATGCCGGGAGCAAGGGGCTAGTAACCTCTTCTCCTGTATATATTACTAAATGTAAAAGGAGAAACTTTCGTTTTTCCTTTTGGGCCACCCCGCCTCGGTGGGATACGGCCGGTGTGTTGAAAGAAAGATCTATAGTTTGTGTAGGAATAATTTTAAAAAACATTAGGTAGTAGGTTGGTAGACAGCAGCTGAACAGGGAGGTACTACCATCCTGCCAAGTGAGTGTGAAATGGAAACCTGTAATTGTTTTACATGTTGGTAAGATTGCTGGTGTCTTTTTGTTTTGTCTCATAAGCATGCAAAGGTTTCAGGTACATCTTGCTACTTCTACTTACACTTAGGTCACACTACACTTGCATGTACAAGCATATATATACACACACCCTTCTGAGTTTTCTTCTCTATTCTTACTAGTTCTTGTTCTTATTTCTGCTTATCTCCCTGGGGAAGTGGAACAGAATTCTTTCTCTGTAAGCCATGCGTGTCATAAGAGGCAACTAAAATGCTGGGAGTGAGGGGCTAGTAATCCCTTCTTCCGTTTATACATGCTTTTTTTAACAAGTTGGCCGTCTCCCACCGAGGCAGGGTGACCCCAAAAAGAAAGAAAATCCCTAAAAAGAAAATACTTTAATCATCATTCAACACTTTCACCTCACTCACACATAATCACTGTTTTTGCAGAGGTGCTCAGAATACAACAGTTTAGAAGCATATACATGTACGTATAAAGATATACAACATATCCCTCCAAACTGCCAATATCCCAAACCCCTCCTTTAAAGTGCAGGCATTGTACTTCCCATTTCCAGGACTCAAGTATGGCTATATAAAATAACCGGCTTCCCTGAATCCCTTCACTAAATATTACCCTGCTAACACTCCAACAGATCGTCAGGTCCCAAATACCATTCGTCTCCATTCACTCCTATCTAACACGTTCACGCACGCTTACTGGAAGTCCAAGCCCCTCGCCCACAAAATCTCCTTTAAACTCTGCCTCCAACCTTTTCGAGGATGACCCCTACCCCGCTTTCCTTCCCCTACAGATTTAAACGCTCTCCATGTCATTCTACTTTAATCCATTCTCTTTAAATGACCAAACCACCTCAGCAACCCCTCTTCAGCCCTCTGTCTAATACTTTTATTAACTCCACACCTCCTAATTTCCACACTCTGAATTTTCTGCATAATATTTACACCACATATTGCCCTTAGACAGGACATCTCCACTGCCTCCAACTGTCTCCTCGCTGCAATATTTACAACCCAAGCTTCAAACCCATATAAAAGTGTTGGTACCATTATATTTTCATACATTCCCTTCTTTGCCTCCATAGATAACATTTTTTGTCTCCACATATACCTCAATGCACCACTCACCTTTTTTCCTTCATCAATTCTGTGATTAACTTCATCCTTCTTAAATCCATCCGCTGATTCGTCAACTCCCAAATATCTGAAAGCATTCACTTCTTCCTACTCCTCCTCTCCAATTTGATATCCAATTTTTCTTTATCTAAATCATTTGATACCCTCATCACCTTACTTTTTTCTATGTTCACTTTCAGCTTTCTACCTTTACACACACTCCCAAACTCGTCCACTAACCTTTGCAATTTTTCTTTAGAATCTCCCATAAGCACAGTATCATCAGCAAAAAGTAACTGTGTCAATTACCATTTTGTATCTGATTCCCCATAATTTAATCCCACCCCTCTCCCAAACACCCTAGCATTTACTTCTTTTACAACCCTATCTATAAATATATTAAACAACCATGGTGACATTACATGTATATTACTAAATTTAAAAAGAGAAATTTTCATTTTTCTGTTTGGGCCACCTTGCCTTGGTGGGATATGGCCAGTTTGTTGAAAGAAGAATTTAAAAAATAGGTCATCTGTCTTTCATGTATCATATACTAATAATTATACTAATGCTTTTGGAGTATGTACTGAATATGCAATGTTAGTATTGTGCTACACTCATGTTCTCACAAACTCCATTAAACTTTTATATGAGTGAAATAAAAACACATGTGCAGTATTAGGATATTTTAATGAGGAAATATTCCACCACAAATGGTTTCTTTAGTCCAACAGTGATAACCACAGGTGGAGTTTACATAATGAAAAAGTGGGTGCCAAGAGGCAAAAAAACCCGTACAGCTGTGGTTAGTTATGAAATTTTGAGTTACCGATTTGCCCTCTATCAAAAAAAAAAAAATTAGTTTTAGAGTTCGATGAAAAATTTGATTTATTCATGTTGTGATGGTCAGTAGTTGTAGGTAGACCTCAGTCCAGAGACCAACAGGGTGATGAAAGGTCTTAAATGGAGTGATTATGAAGGTGTGTTAAAGGTGAGTGGGAGGAGGGAGACCATATGTGACAGACCTGATGGTGGGAAAGTGATGATGAGAGTGTTAATATTAAGTCTATAGTAATTACCTATCTGTCTTCTTGTCTGTTGTCTGCCTTCCCTTGCTTTCCTGAATGTTTGCCTTCTTGCCTCCTCTGCTCTGTCCTGCCTGCCCTGCCATTTTGCCTGGAAAAAAAACTATTGTAATTTTATTTGCTGCATAAGTAAAACCATTATATGTAGTAATAAGTTTTACAAATTATGATGCTTGTGAAGAATTTAATTGTCAGGTATAATATACAGTCAGTCACTATCCAGTGATCTGTTATTTAGCATACACCTTTATCTGGCTATCTTGAATTTTATTCGGCTTCACCATTATCTGCCAGTCTTATTTGATTGAATTTCCTTTAATTATTTTGGGCAAAGAAATTGTCAGTTTTTCCCTTGACTTGGACAAGACACTTGTATTGAAGAACAGCCATAGGATTTTTTGAAAGTATGTCTATTGGGTTTCCCATACCTAAATGTGTTTTCCTTATTTTCAACATTTCTTATGACTATAAATCTTAGAATAATGTTTAAAGATGTTAAAATAACGTGAACCTGTAAATATATATCTTCCTACTCCTATTTTCTGCCTCCCTTCACCACATGTCCCAGCTATGTGTCGGCACAACTCAGCTTCCTCTGGTTCGTAATTTTTACTCAGTTCAACACACTTAAATCGAAAACCAACTAGATTTTTTTTTTCAAAATATGCTCATTGGGTTTTCCATGCCTAAATCTTGTTTTCTTTCTTATTATTATTTTTTTATGATGCCAGTGTAACCCAGTTTGGTGTCATATTTTCAGATTAAACTAGTTTAGATTGATATTTAAAGGAAAATTATTTAAAAAAGCAAATGCAAGAAAAGCTGTGCCAAAAATAGGAAACATAAATTCATCTATTATCTGTCCATTTAGAAAATCCAGTGCACCCTTTTCCCATCAAACCTGGATTATGGGTGATTGTATTAGGCCTTGTTTTTATATCATCATTATATGCTGACTGTTTTGCTTTGTTTACATAAAGTTCTTTAAATATTTTCTCTGAACATGTATTATCTTTACACCCAAACCTCTTACCTTGTATGTACAATACATGTTTCTCTCATTTGTGTTCCTTAACTACAAGTGATAATAAAAATAATAATCTTAAGTTTATAAAGTTTATTTAACATACTGGTCATTTCCTGGAGTAGGGTTGCCCTAAAAAGACAGCATTTTCATCATCACTCGCTCCATCATTGTCTTGACAAAGGTGTGCCTTGACATGAAGCAAAGAGTTGAAGATTCATTACAAGCTGCTGTCACAGATAAAGTTATCACAATCATCCTACAACCTTCTCTCACCTCTTTCCCTCAAAGGAGGTGCCTTGATGCTGTTGAAGGGTTCTTGATCCAAGGAATATGACTTAACCTCCTCCCCTTCCTTGGATTGAACATGAATGCCTCCCTTTCTGCAGGTGCTGTATGACCCCTATAGGTTTAGTGCTTCCCGTGAATAAAATGAAAATGTAATTTCCTCGTCTCTGCCCAAGAGAACCACTTTACACTGCAGTGTGAGAGAACTGCAGGAGAAATCTGCAGTTGTAAGGAACTTCAAGAGAGTTCTAAAGTGGGGAACTACAGGACAAACCAGCAGTGTGGCAGAACTATAGAAGAAACCTGCATTGTGAGGGAGCTACAAGAGAAACCTGTAATGTGGGGAGGAAATATAGGAGAAACCTGCAA